TTTACAGAGAATCACCATTACCAATCGGATCACCTGCCCTTAATTATAATTAATTTAAAATATAATAATTTTAATTTTAATTTAATTTTTTATGAATTCTAAAGTATAATATTTATATTTGATTTTATTATAAAAAGATAAATAAATATCATTTTAAATATAAATAATAAAATATACTTAGAATTGAAAGCACCTGGACTTGAACCAGGACTTTCTCCTTAAAAGGGAGACACTCAACCACTCAAGTTCTGCTTTCTTAGAAGTAAGTTTATAATTTGAATTTTATTACCAATAATTTAATAAATTATATACTATAATTAATATTAAAAAAAATAAATTTAAAATATTATAAAATCTACTGAGTTGACCAGATTCGAACTGATATTATTCATTACCAAAAAATGATGTTTTTCCAAAAAACTACAACTCATAAATGTATTTTTTATTATAAATATTAACAAAATTAAAAACAAAAACAAAAAATAAAAATAATAATATAAATAATATTTGCCAAAAACTGGAATCGAACCAATATCAAAGTCTTACAAGGAATTCGTTTTACCAATTAAACTATTCCGGCTTTATAAATATTTTTTATTTTTATATAATATTAATATAATTATATATTAATAAATAATAATGCCCCGAGAGAGAATTGAACTCACATTTCTATATCTTCAGAATAGCGCTTTGACCACTAAGCAATCGAGGCTTAAATTATAATTTATATTTTTAGCTTATTTTTATATAATAATTTTAGTATAATATTAAAAGAAATTATGAATTAAACAATAGATAAATTATTTATGTTTTAATTAAAAACAAAAATTTTTATTAATATAAATAGTAAATATAAATAGTTTAAAATAAACTATAATTAAAAAATAAAACGATCTTTGGAGAGAAGATAGACTCGAACTATCATATTTGTAATGCAAATACAACTGATTACCAATTATCAGATTTCCCCTTAGTTTAAATATTCTTTTAAATATTTATAACAAATATTATAAATTAAAATAATAATTAAAAAAAATAAAATAATTAAAAAAGAATAAGAATTTATGATAAAAATTTAATTTAATATAGATTAAAACACAAAAATAAATATTTTATAATTAAAAAGGGGTTATAAATGAAATAAATGTAATAAATAATAAAATTATTATAAATTAAAAACAAAAAAATTAATAAACAAAAATAAAAAATTATTTTTTATAATTAGTTTGTGTAGATTTAGCAATAGATATAGCACCAGAACCAATTTCTAAAATAAATCCTATAGTTAATACTACAAAGAAAATTAAAGCAATACTAAATCCAAAAGTACTTACTTTATATAAAGTAACAGCAATAGGGAATAATAATAATATTTCTAAATCAAATATTAAAAATAACATAGCAACTACATAAAATTGAATTTGGAAATCAGTTCTATTTTGTTTTCTAATAGCTGAATATCCACATTCATAAGCTGAAATTTTAGATTCATCAGGTCTATGTACTGAAAATAAGAAATTTAAAAATAATAATATTAAAGCTAATATAGGAACAAATATAAATAACATTAATAAATTATTCATTAAAAATTAAATAAAGATAAAGAAAGTATTGTTGTACTATTTAATAAAATTGATGGTTTAAGAACAAAGAATAAAATAGATAATGTTAAAGTAGATATAATAAAACTATTTGTACTACTTATTTCTATTTCTGAATTAGAATTTAAATTATTTATTATTTTTATTTCTTTATCACTATATTGAGATGTATTTACTTCTTCTGTAAATATTATTTTAATTATTTTTAAATAATAAGAAGCACTTATAATACTTACAATAATAGCTATAATAGACATGAAATAATATCCATTTTGAATTGCTGAATATAATACAAACTGTTTAGAGAAAAATCCTATTAAAGGAGGTATTCCAGCCATACTAAATAAACAAATTGTTAAAACTATTG